AAAGTAATAACGTTCAGTTGGCTTGGTTAGTTAGGTTGCATGCTGTGGTTGCATTAGAACTTTACCTGATCCTGGATCTTGGATCTTACTTACGCTCGCTTTGAGATTCCTTGTTTGGCTGGGTTCGAGATGGCGATACGAGGAGGTTGAATATAGATGCATAAAATTGTAACAGCCTCTGTATTTTGTTAGACCACAGCAAGCATGATGTGCACGTCAAAGCTTCCGTCTCCTACAAGACTAGCATCGATAGTCTCTAGTAGTAAATATCAACACTAAAAGGAGATATTGCCTCTTTGCAGATAGATCACCAACACGAGTAAAGGTGGTACCGGCCTGTGCTATATCAAGTTAGCAAATAATCTACGCTCGGTTGGTTGAAGTTTGAGATGGATGTTGCAGCTAGGGCGTTTCTGATCCTGGGCTGTAGAACCTGTAGCGGCCTATCAGAAGGCCTAGCTTGAAGCCGTTACCGTTAGCGTCGCGTACTGTCCTCGATGCAGATGTCTGTGAAGGACTGAAGGTGCAGGTAAGGCAGGCAGGTGATGGCAAAGGTGCCACACGGACTTCCTCTTGTGGATGGCAAGATTCCGGTTGACGGCAATGGCAGTTGGCTTCAGCGTCCTCCTTCCAAGGTAGATTAGATTCAATTAAACCGTTTCCCTCCCCCCTCTCCCAGATCAAATAAGATCTTTATCTCTCCATTGCTCGTCCGCCACTTGTCGCCCAATTACTCTCCTCAACAGCTACAATGCATCTATAGGCCCGCTAGGATCGCCAAGCTGAAACCCTCCCACAATCCGCGATCGACCCATCAATCAAAGTACCCCTAAAGTCCGGCCGAGGCGAGGATCCCAGTAAACGTCGAGTAATAAGTTCAAGGTTGAACCAACAATCCAAGGACTCGGTCAGAGGACAGCGACATCACAGTGAGGCGACTTTGAATCAAGTGAGGTGATAAACACCATTGGCGCGGGAGTTGTCAATTCTCTGTCTCGACTCCTTTTCTCCAATACCTTTACCTACATTTCCATCAGTGCTGAATCTCGCTCTCCTCTTGCATATATCTGCTACCAGAGTCAAACAGTGCATGAGGACGTCCTTGCTCACTGGACCTCTTCTTGAAACTAACACTAACACTGGCACTGGCACTGACTGACACTGCCATTGCTCGGTGTATCCCTGTCCCTGTCACGCATCATCGTTTCAATATCGCAGTCGAAAGAAACGCATGTCCTCAATCCAACCTCTCAACTCCACCCTCCGGTCTTGACAGAAATCACTTACGCAAGAATCCAAGTGATCACGACAACTCCCTGGTTCATTCGGCATCATGAGTAGCGACGGTGTTGGTGGCCGCTTCTGGCGCAAGCAGAAACTCGGCTCAAGGGACTTCACTCTTCAAGAGCGCAGAGCAACAGGCGAGGGCGAGGTAGATGTCGAGGCCGAGGAGGGTAGCATTCGCCAAGGAGTATCAACAGAGTATCGCACTTACAAACGACGTTGGTTTGGTCTCGCTCAGCTAACGCTGATGAATATTATCGTGTCGTGGGATGTAAGTTTAGAGTTCCCACGCCACCAATCGAATGAGATGCATATGCTGACAGAAGAACGATAGTGGATGACCTTTGCACCAGTAGCATCACAGGCTGCCGAATACTATGATGTACGCGAATCTACCATCAACTGGATCAGCACTGCATTCTTCCTTGCATTTGTGGCTGTTTTCCCCATCAGCATTGCCATCCTCCATCGGGGTCCGAAGCTGGCCTTCATGACAGCCGCCGTTCTCATTCTCATTGGCAATTGGATTCGGTACGCCGGTTCTACAAAGTCCAGTGGTGGAAATATCGCCTATGCCATGGCCGGAGAGATTATCATTGGATTTGCCCAGCCTTTTATTCTTGCAGCACCAACTCGATACTCGGATTTGTGGTTCACTAACCGTGGACGTGTCGCTGCAACAGCTCTGACAAGTCTGGCCAACCCCTTCGGTGCAGCATTTGGCCAACTAATTACACCACTCATGGTTAAAAAAGCTGGCGATGTGTCAAACATGGTCCTCTACATCTCCATCATTGTATGTGCCCTACGAATTTCTTGTTCTCCATATCTAACGGTTCTAGTCAACGGTTTGTGCCGTGCCTGCCTTCGCCGTTCCAGCCAAACCTCCTTCACCAGTTGGTCCCGCAGCTGAGACCCCTAAACTCAGTCTCCGCGAATCCTTTGGGGTTTTGAGTCGTTCTCTCGAGATCTGGCTGATCCTTGTTCCCTTCTCCATATATGTCGGCTTCTTCAACTCGATTTCTTCGCTTCTCAATCAGATCTTCTCGCCATATGGCTTTTCTGACGACGAAGCTGGCATCGGCGGTGCTGTACTTATTGTTGTTGGTCTCATCGCCTCCGCTATCTCGTCACCCATTATCGACCGCACGAAGAGTTTCCTCTTGACTCTCAAGATTCTTGTCCCCATTGTTGGCGTCAGTTACCTAGTCTTTGTTTGGATGCCTGAAACGAAGGATATTGCTGGTCCCTACGTAGTCCTCGCCATTCTGGGTGCGTCCTCTTTTTCGTTGGTGCCTATCGCACTCGAATTTCTCATAGAACTCAGCCACCCACTCAGTCCCGAAATCACTTCAACTTTGGCGTGGGCTGGTGGCCAGCTATTCGGCGCTATCTTCATCATCATTAGCGATGCGCTCGTGGCCGATAAGGATGCGAGCCCTCCGAAGAACATGAAGAATGCCCTGATCTTCCAAGCAGTTGTGGCTCTTGCCGTAGTGCCCTTGCCTTTGTGTCTGGGGCTTTTTGGCCGGAAAGAAAAGACGATGCTTCGACGTGTTCGCTCAGATGAACAAAACCGGTCGGACACGACTGTAACGACTAACGCATGATTGGATTTCGAACTGAATGCGGCATGGGCCTGACGTATGGTTTCCCAAGCTATGACTTTGAGAGCAACTAATAATACCGTCTTCTGTGGCGTTTATATATGCCTGCCATTGTCGCAATATACCCATTTCCTTTTTAGTTAAACGCCGATTGGATCCATTAACCACGATGGGGTCTTTTCCTCTATGCCTTTTTAACCCCAAGAATGGTTTCCCACTCGTGTCGCATGTTCTCCATCCTTTCCCAGCATTCGGCGCCCAGTTCCTCGAATCTCACAATATCTTCCTTGGTCACGTCTTTAGCGCCTCTCTTTCGCCCGATGGTCTTCTTGAAAACACCAACAGCGGTGTCCGCTTCGAACGCCGCCGCATCCTCGACTTTGCCCTCCCAACCCCAGCCTTCAACTTCTGTCTGCTTAACTTCGACCTGCATGTGACGGTTCGAGCTGCTGCCCCACTTGATGCGCTCGGCACCTAGTTCATCAAGCGCAGATTGCTCTTGGAGCGCAATCCAAACAGGGGATTTGGCACCGGTATAGCTGTCTGTGTTGTGCCAGGGCGAACCAATCCAGCGACTGATCAGAAGAGCAAGTTCATATGCCCACATCAGAAACCAGGGAACTGGGAATAGGGTGCTGGCAACAATACCCGGATGGGTGAGATACATGCGCGGCCGAATGGGTTTATCGCGGGCCTCGCTGGGGTCGTCGGGGGTGAAGAAGCGGCTGGAAGATGGCATGGCTGCGGGAAGAGTTGCAGTGAGGGAGAGAATGTCGGTGACTCGTTTAGCGGATTCGTACGGGCCTTTACCATTGAAGCACTGGAAGTCGGACATATCGAGAACACTGTCGACAGCCTCAAGACTGCTGGACCAGACAAGACGGCCGGGTGTTTCGGTTTCGGATCGCCGACTAAGTAGTGGAAGAAGTTCATGGGCCAATATATAATGACCAAAAACACAGGCTGTAAACACCTCGCCGAGTAAAGGTTCCTTAGGCTGCATTCAGTCAATGGGTGAAATCATTGAGTTACTGCGACTGACTCACATAGTTGTAGTTGCGCTTTTCGTTTAAGAGAGCAGTAGGGAGGGCCATCTTGAAGTTTGGCCAAGTAACAGACTGCACCAACCCCTGGGTCAAGATAGTCCATACAGCTTTGGGATAATTGACCCCTGACCATCCACCATACGCAGCATTGAATACTACAGTATCCAGCCTGGGAATGCGTACATTTCGTAGATATTCGCCCTGCAGCCCCTCAGGGTTGCTCACCGGGCCTCGTAACAAAGCATTTGCGAAAGAATACACCCCGCGCAAGTCACACAGGTCAAGCTGCAAGCTCAGAACATGGATTCGCGCAATGGTATCTTCCCAACGATATGAACTCCCAGCCCGCGAACGTAGTGCTGTAGAAGATTGCGCAGCCTTGTTGGCGTAGCCACGAAGGGTTTGGATCGTTTGTAAGGACTTGGACTTGGATCGTGTGGTAGGGATGAGGATGAGGTGGGAGCGCAAAGAGCGTGTAGCAAGGAATTCGTCGATAAGTCGTTCTCCAATACTGAGACCGATACCACTTGAGTTGCATTAGCTGCCGCTCCCTATAGCCTGGAGCTTTTGAACAAACCTATTGGCACCTGTGATCAGAACAAAAAGTTGTTCCTGACCCGAGACTCCCTCCCAGGGGGCTGTCGCCGGTGACAATTGGGAGCCCATCTAGATGGAATACAGCTCGATTTTTGGAATCTGGTATTCGCGGTGGGCAAATTCAATCCTGCGAATATTAACACAATGCGATAAAGAGTTAAGGGCGGTGTGTTAGACGTTCAGATGTTACCTGTGGTGTCCCGTTGGGTGGAAAGACATTCACGTGATAGCATATTTAATTTCCATGCTATCGCAGCTCTATCCGAAAACGAATAAGAGACTGTAGTACATATATTTTCACAATACGTTCAGTCAGGTAAACTGAGAAAGATCAAGGCATCTAATCATTATTCTTGATTGTTATTAAATTGGTAACTACGCTTTTTCCGAGCGAATATCCATTCTCTCCATGAATACTCCATGTGCCATTGCAATTCGTTCAGGAATGGCTAATTCAACCAAATCATTACTCCCGGGCCTTGCTGCTGCCCTCTCGCACAGCTTCAAGAATCAGATTCTTAGCCATCTCAACTCCATCCTTGGTTCCAATAATTTCAATGGCTTCGTCCTTGGCTTGGTCACGGGGGACCTGGATCTTGCAATTGCTCTCCTTTCTGATCGAGTTGACCTTGGAGCCGTTGGGACCAATGACATGTCGGTAGGTTCGAGGGTCCGGGAGAACTAGATAACCTGTAGCATCATTCTTCTTGGCCTGCTCAAGAGCCTTGGCAATGGCATCCTTGGCCTTCTCTACGTTCTCAGATGAACCGCGCAGAACCCAAGGGAAATCGCCATCATCACCAGCATCAATCTGGACAACCTTCCACGAGTGTGCCTCGGATGTGGCATCGTCGTCATCAGTGATCAGAGGGAGTGCTCCGACGTTGGAGCGAGTAGAAGAGTCAGGCTTAGCGGGCAGAGCTTGGCCAGCATGATCAACAGTGACCGAGTAGTTGTTGCGAAGCTGACGGAAGAACTGTCCACCGTTGGAAATGGAGTGGTGAAGGTTGCGAGGGACCTGGATAGTCTCCCCTTGTTGCTGCTGAACAAGTCCTTGGATGTGCTCTTTAGCCTTGGCCACGTTCTCAGGGCGGCCTGTCAACTTGACGCCGGTTTTGCCATCCCCCTGACGGGGAACGTCGATAGAGACGGTGAACTTGGACTCGAGCTGGCGCTTTGTATCGCCACCACGGCCAATGAGCGAACGATGGTTCTCAATAGGAACATCCACAATCTCAGTGACCTGGCTCTCACGCTCACCAACAATCTCCTGAATACGCTCAACGATCTTGTTCACAATATCAGTGCGACCCTCAATCTTGATAGTGTTTCCATCAGCCTCCTGCTTGGGGAACTGAATGGTGCGAGCAAGCTCTCGTCGGTCGTCAGAGCCACCGGCCTTGACGACAATGTCGCGAAGGTTGGAGCCTGTAACAGTTAGTTACTGTCTGAATAAACATAAAAGGCATAAACTTACCGCCAGCTCCAATGAGAGCCTTATGGTACTTCTTGTCAACATCAAGAGTTCGGACTACAGTATCGTCGAAGACAGCCCGCTTCTCCTCAAGAACCTTCTTGGCCTTGGCGACCTGTGAGGCGGTACCCTTGATCTGAATCTCGACAATGTCGGTATCTCGGTCTTGAGGCACATCAATGCGAGCACCAGTAGCCTGACGAAGCTCATCCAGAGCGGAACCACCCTGTCCAATCAAAGATCCGACTTGCTTCTGCTGCACAGCAACAGTGGCGGTAGCCGAATGCTCTTCAAGATACTTGTGAAGAGAAAAAATCTCATCCCGAGCTTCGTCAGCACCCTTCTTGGGACCTCGGATGATGACCTCATCAGGAGCCTGCTGCCGACGAGGTTTGGCGCCCTCTTCGACATCAACATTCGACTGCTCATCGTCTGCAGACTTGGCGGATCGAGGGAAGAAAATATGGACCTTGTAACGGGTCTGCAGCCGGTTGATCTGGCTTCCCTGAGCCCCAATCAGCTCCCTATGATACTTAGGGTCAATCTTCAGAGTGTGACTTGTTTCATCTGCCAATGTACGAGCGAGGTTCTGAATATAAGAGCGAGCAGTCTCGGCCTTGGCCTTGGGTCCCTTGAGCTCAACCTTGCCATCTTGGACTTGAATCTCAACGTCGAAACGGTCTCGAAGTTCACGAATATTGCTGCCGCCCTTACCAATTAGGTGATTGGCAAACTTCTGAGGGAAATCGAAAGACAGTGTGAAGCCTCGCTCCTTCTCGTCCTCCTTCTCTTGCTCGACAAAGGCATTGGACTTGGCAGCAAGGGACTCGACAGCAGAAGCAGGTCCTCTAAGGGTGATGCGAGTTCCATTCTTCGAGACACGGACGGGAATCTGGTCCGACTTTCGAGATTCCTGCTCCTTCTTGATGAAGCGTCTAAGTCTTTCATGGTATTTGGCAGGGACATCAAGCTCGGCGCTAGTGATAGCTTCTTGCTTGTTGATCAGCTCAAGAATGTGTTTCTGGGCATCCTCGAGCCCCTTCTTAAAGGCACGAATCTCGGCATCTGTTGGTTTGGTGCTAGGCAGCTGATAAGGACCATTGGCGGGATCAGGACCTTCAAACACCAGGAGGACAGGAACATTGCCCTCTGAAGCCTCAGGAACAACAACCTGGACACCATAGTCATTCTTCACTTGACGAGAAATGTTGTTACGAAGGTGCTGGTGGAAGAAAGGATCGATGGGGATAGCGCTCATGCGAGAGGGAGGCTGAGCATTGACGATGCCAGTGATCTCGGACTGGGCACGAATGGCGTTCTTGCCCTCACGTGAGTAAAGTTCCCAAGGAAGTGCACCTCCTTCTGAGAAAGGAGTGTTGATATGAGTGTTATAGATCTTTTCCAGGCGCTCGATCTCCTTGCGTTGACGGAGATATCGAGTCACGTTGCTAGCATGTGCCGCAGCGCCGCCTGGGGCGTTGCGGTGGAATCGAGCAATATCCAAGTTGGACATTTGCATGCCCATGGCCAGATCCATGGCCTTCTCCAGGCCAGAGGCAACCTCATCAGCGGGTCCAATGACGGTGATAACGTCATCATCTTCATCAGTGGGAAGAAGAATGGAGCAGCCAGTATCGGCAAAGAACTGCTCAGCGGGAACACCTCGGTCGCCCACGATGAATTGGTGGCGGCCACGCTGGATAGACAGCTGCTCGGCAGCAAGTTCCCTGTGGAGCTGGGCAACTCGGCGCTCAATCTCGGCGCGAGCCTTTTGCACTGCAGCTCGGTCACCAGCGAGCTGGATATGGTTATCCTCGTTGCCAGCAGGGGCGAAGATAGGTCGTTCACCAGGGTTGGCAGTAACAGCAGCGGGCCCTGTAGAGTATGCCTGCAGGGGAGGGATGCGAACCTCCGCACCACTGTCTTGCGCAAGAGCTTGAGCAAATGCATTATCTTGGCCAGCAATGAAGGGATAGAATGCAGCAGGAATGCCCCGAACCTTAGTCTGGACATTGGCAGACCGGTCTTCAGCAATCTTGAGGATTTGATCTCGAGCAGAAGCGGCAGAGAGGGCATTACCCTCGACAGTCACATCAATGGTAGCATCGTCATCCTCCTCATCGATAGGGTTGCTTTCGTCGACTTTGGGGAGCTGAATCTTGGCACCTGACGTCTCCTGAATACGCTTGATCGTGGATCCTCCCTTACCGATAATGTGGGCGCGGGCTGACTGAGGAATGGGAACTTTGATGGCAGTCTAGCAAGTATTAGTTTAGCTCGTGAATAGGAGACACGAAAACCTACTCGAGTACCAATCTGACCGACCAGATCCTTGATCGCCTGTTGAGCGACATCCTGAGGACCAGTAGCATCAAATTTGTAGCGGCCGTTGGCGGTGGTGTTCATCGAAAGGGTGGCACGAGACTTGCGGTTGAGATCCTTGATGATATCAGGGATGGGCCTCTTTAGCTGGCTACGAGACAGGATGTACTGGGGATCCAGGGTGACAGACTCGACATTGCGGCCAGGAATGAACATAGATGGCTTGTTAGGGGTAGCAGCACCAGAGACGGGAGTAGACGAACGAGAGCCACCATTAGAGGCGGCGCCGTTCGCGGTCTTAGCTCCCCAGATGGGCGCCACATTAGCAGCCTTACCCTTTGGACCACCGAGCTCGGGGAACAGCTCATGCGACTGAGTATCGAGAGTCTTAGCAGCGGCCTGCTTGGGAGCTGCTTTGGGAGCTGGAGCCGGGGCTTCGGCGGAGCTAGAGGCCTCAGCAGAAGAACGGATGGGAAGATCCTCATCAGGTGCATCCTCGACGGTAACATGATGAGGAGCTTCTGCGTGCTTCTGCATGAGCTTCTGAGCAGCGGAGAGCTCATTGGCGGGAGCTTCGGAAGCCATTGTAAGCGTGGTTTAATGTTTCGAACGGTGTAGCTAGCTAGAGTCGGTATTGGTGGCAGATGAACTGATGTTGGATGTCAGAAAGGGGTCAATCGAAATCGAATTGGGAGTGCTATGCAAGAGCTTTGCGTATTATATACTCACCGAGTTCAATTGGCTACGAGAGCAATGAAGCTTGCGGCCAAATAAAGGTCTTGAAAAATGTGAGATTCGATAGAGGAGGATGATCAGATGTATTAACGAGTCTTGTCTCTAGAACATTGTGCAAGAGACAGCAGACGATGGAAACCGGTAACCAGAAGGGAGAACCAGAGCTGTGCTAGAGACCGTGAACCGAAAATACGACGGACTCAAAGAAGATGATTGAGGTTTGAGGATGAATTGTCATGGACAAAGTTGAGGGTGAGGTGGAAGTTTCTCCAGACCGCGACCTCTCCCCACGAAGTACAGTAGGCCACCTTTCCTCGGTGCAGGGATTACCTACTAACCTATACTAACGGAGACACCTAGAATTTACGCGAAGCTTGTCCGAGGCAGCGGGCACCAGTCCTTTTTGAGAAGGCGAGGTTTTAAAGGGGAAAGCGAGGTAGGTTGTACATTGTGAGGTACCTAGATATGGTGATATCTTCAGCCTTTTTATCAACCACAGTTTTTTTTAAAACAATTGTGGGAATTTTGTGCAAGTTTGCCTGCCTGTCAAGTTCGTTTCCCTCAAGCTGGCTTAATGCCAGGATGTTCGAACCTTGAGATGTATTATCCGTCAGCCTGTCCCTATACGTACACTATCAAAGCCACTATCCAATGGATGATGAATATATATAATTCTTTTTTGAATGCAGCCACACAGACACCTCACACTCGGATCTGAAGTTTTTCCATTACCTAGGTATGTCAGCTATTATAATACTTGGCCTGAAGCTTCCTACCTACAATACTGCCTTGAAAATGGTGTCGAACCATGTTCACGTGTGTTTGGATGTATCCCGGAGACAGCCAGCATCTGACTAAAACGAGAACAATCACAAATACACGTGTTGGTTGTTTAATAGAATTCTGACGCATGAGGGCTGCTCCCGGTAGTTGAAGAAGTTCTTAGAAGAGCAGTGACATCCCACCTGCCCCTCTAAAGCACTTCAATTTCACTTTTCAATGACATAAGAGCTGATCTTATTAACGACCGAGTCAACATGCTGCTTGTTTTTAGGCCAGCTTACGATTCACCAACCAGTGAACCTTCTTACCCATGTTGAGACATTTATACTGTTGCAGTGCACCCACACCGTTCAAAGATTGTATTACGTCTGCCCGCCCATTAGATGAATTTTATCAAGAGAACCATCACGTCAAATGCTACCAAGCTTGCTGCAGGTTGATACAGCGTTTCTCGTGGTGCATTGGCAGCTACTGCAGGTACTGATTGAAGATGGCACACTCCATCCTCTTGAGGCATAGTGCTGTGGCCTCGGTTCAGATAACCAACAGGGATTACAACATTGCATCACACGTAATGGTCAGTGATGTGGCAGCTGAAGAGGCCTGGGGAATGTTGAGATATCCCGTCATGTATTCACAACTGACGGTATAGTTTACCCAACAGTACTTGCAGGTATCCGCCAACTTGGACCAGAGCCATGACAATGGCTCATATATGGCCAACTCGTCGACTGCGAACGGAGAAGAGAATCATGTCATGTGAACATGAAATAATGTCCGATGGAACTTAAACCTGTAGGACTTCACCTGGATCCGCTGTTGCAATTTATATCTTAACAAGGCGATCAGTTCATACATAGCGGACACGTAATCGCAAACTAAGAGAACGCTGTTGTTCGTATCGACTCCCGAGCTATGCGCTGTCTCGAGACTTAACTTAATACAGACAGGCATGATTCCAACCAGTGCTGGTCGTGTGAGTTGTACAAAATTTAGGGCGATTGTCAGTTACTAAGGGTATCCTGTCGGGGAGCGGATGATAGGTACCTGGCCCGGATCGTCGAGAACTTGAACAATCCCAACTTGTTACAAGGTTGGCCCCTGGCATTGAAGGAATTGCCTCTGCAATAGCTTCAGCCAACGAGAATTCAGAGCAATTGAGGATCCAGGGTTTCATATTGCTTCTATTTATGATTATTTGTATGTTCTACGACATCAAAGCCTACTGTTAGGTTGTTGTTGGCTCTTTACCGCTCCGAGTTTGTCATTGAGATGAGTAAGCGGTAGTTAAATGGCAAGAATTGAACGGACTTCGAAACGTCGCTAACCGCCCCAAAGTTGTGTCTTCCAAACCAGCTACCTGCGGCTCGTCCTCCTTGTCTCGGGTTAAAACAATTGGTCAGTACTAGGGACATTAAGCTAATGACAGTAATCGTTGTCTTGCTCCAATCCTTGGGGAGACAAGAATGGCTGGTGGAACTTGGAAGTCCTCTCACGACTTGCATATCTTGGCCCCCTCCTTCAAGGATGTAGAAGCAAACTATCAGAATATTATTAGAAGCCTAGTATGCAGCCTACCTAGGGGAGGAAAGAAAACTCAGGACCTTGATCCTGAATGATATAAAGACTTAAGTAAATTTGCATAAATTTAGGTTACCTTTACTAAATTTAGGGTATCTTTTGCTGAGTTTATTTTAACACCCTGTATCAGGGTCTGGTGTTTTCTTGCTCCTCGAGGGCAGCTTTGCTGGTTTTGCGCTTGATTTGATATGTGTTTTGTTGAATACTGGAAGTCTTACTTCCCTGAGTACCAAGGCAAAGGTTCAGAAGTAGCAAATACAGATGCTGGCATAGGAAGCTAACCAATGACCAGATCGCCGAAACAACCCAGCAGCTGTGAGCATTGGATGCAAGAACCCAGCATGATGAATGGCCGATGAGGGTACAAGTTCATTATTGTGCCCCATCATGACCAAGCTGTAACGCCCAGGTACTGAATTAATACTGGGCGCAATATTGCGGTGCCTTGCTGATGCCCCGCACATAAAAATTTCTTCGACTTTAGATGATGAAGCACCTACAGCAAGATATATTAGATATACCGGTACGTCGACTCGGAGCACACGAAAACAGCGGTTGAGAGAGACTGCGTCGGAGCCAACACTGCCCAGCCACGGCTTTGGTAAATCACCGATGCTTGACTCCCATTAAGACCTGCAAAATCGTCGGCAATCTCCACCAGCCACGAGCGTTCTGACCCACGAGGACGGGGCAGTTGAGCTTGGAGTCGAGCTTGTGCCTGTGCTAGTCAAGCTAGTCTCAACTCGGGGGAGACAGTTGCTTGAGATTGGCCAAGGACTGGCTAGTTTACCCAAACTTTGATCTCTAGCTTCTCCTGAATGTTCCCGCCCGGCTTTGAGAACAAACTCCACTCAGTCAGGAATCAAGATGCATTCGATTCCACTCACACTTGATCGTGATGAACCTGAGACAGGAACGTTCAATCTGTTACTGGTCAGCAGGTATATATCAGGGGGTATGGCAGCGTGGATACAGCTGTAAATTATGTATCTGACTGGGGGTCGTTATCAGATACAAACAGTGTTGCAGTGCTCGATGAGCAAGATACATACAGATCGATTGATTTTTCACGATAACATGGTTTGTTAAGCGCTTGGCCATGATTGGGGTCTAGTTAATAACATTCCCAGATCAACGAGTCATTGGGGTGACATAATGCACCCGAGACTGACGTTACTTATCCAAGTTACAAAACCTGAAGACGTGATTCATATAAGTTTTCTAGTGCGAGTATGTGCAACGAGTCCGGAGCAGAGCAAACCATACGTGTGATTAACAGTAGAGGCTAACAAGCGGCCACCGGCAGTAGAGTGCAGCCATGATATGTGATTGCTTTCATTGAAGGCTGTTTGTCAACAATGGGCGATTGATTCGATTGGAAACGGCTGGGTTGAGTCTGTAACCAACATCTGCCCCACACTATTGTCTGTATTCATTTATTCATTCTCAAATATCCCGACCTTCTGCAGCCACCATGTGTCATAATCAGAGCTCGTCATCCAGTGCAAGCGACAAAAATAAGGTGACGTTAAGCCACTTGCGGTCCATACGCCATTCACCCCGCGTCGTCATCCTGTGAAGCATCCGTTTGAGCACAACGTTGATTGTGAGGCGCTCAGGGGAAGAAAAGATGCAGTGATACCATCCATGGCCCTCCAACCATACCGTTGGTCCAACCACCAAGTGCTGGCAAGATGCTTTCACACTGTCGAGTCGCGCCAACGGCCCGAGGGACAAGAGATGGCGTTGCAACGACGGTGGGGGACGTTGGATGAGCTTGGAAAAGGGACGCAAGTTAACGGGAGTTGGGTTGGGTATCAGCACCAGCTAAATGCCAAGGTACCTCTGCATGAGTTGTCTGCCCCGCTGATCGCATGTACCTTATCCCAATATGCTGGGGTCCAGGGTCCAAGCCATTTCTTTGGTTCCTTGCCTATCAGAAACCCAATTAGAGTCATTACGTCTGTATCAATGTGAGGGTTTCCAGGGAATTTTACGGAGGACACTGGATCACTTGTAGGAATGTTTTGAGATCGGATTGAATAGGAAAAAAAGCCTTATCAGGCAAATGTTCAGAGCTGTCTGCTACCTTACCAAGCATTCTCCGGCATTCAAGGGCCTTTCATTTTGAAGCATGGGCCTCTTGATGTCTTGTTTCTAAACAACCTCGCTAATCAAGACCCCAATTCCAGTCGTTTGAACAATTCATCATCAGAAAGATCCGTTCTCAGCAAGACTCTGCGGCCGTGTCACCCCCGCAGGACTCCTGATAATCGTCAGCATCACAGTAGAGGAGTCCGGAAACACTAACACAACCCGTGCCATGTGCTGCACCGCACCGCTCTCTGGCTCTGCACTGCACTACGAGGCTGCCCCATCCGCCGTTTGTATCACAATTCTTAAATTCAAGGGTCTCCATGCTACAGTGTAATATCTTATCCCACAGCCCAATCCACCTCCCGCATTCCAGGTCATCTCACTCACCCTTCTTGTCGTCAAGTTCCCCTTGATTTGAGGAATACGACACAGTGCGTGTATAATTGTACCTTATGTAGGTTGTCTTCCTGTTCTCATTGTTTCCCATCCTCTCTTCTTATGTACTTGTCTTCCCGAACTTGATCTCCCCAACCCACTTATCCTGTTATCCCCCGAACAGCAGCTTACCCTTTTTTCCTTTTATGAAGTCACCGGGTCAGGATTCCCAGGAGAGGAAACGCAGAAGCAAAGGCTACACGAAACAGAGACGAAGCAAGGCAAAGCAAGTAATTTAATTCCACTTGCAGGACCGCCATCACCAATTCAGCATCGCCACCCGGGTCAAACAACACACCACAACAATATCAATACCCCCCGCGTTGCACTGCGTTGTGCATCCAATCCCCAGTCCCAGTCCCCCCCGTCAAACTCCTCCTATTGTTTCGCTTCGTTTGTTCCCTCTGGTCTTGCTTGATTCTGAAAGCCCAAGGGCCTATCTATCTATCTCTTGAGTTAAGCCAGACCTGCGCAGCACGGCACGGCCACTGCACTGCACTGCACTGCGCATCTCTTGTGATTCCCCCTCCCTTCTCATTTTCCCTGCACACACACCCTGTGACTTGATACCTGTTCTGTTTCTGTCTAGTCAGTCTCCTCCACCTGCTCGCTCGGCCCATCACAAAAAAAAACCCCGTACCTAACAGCAGCAGCCCGCCGTCCCCTCTAAGGCCTTTTTTTAGCCCCAAAGGGCCCCCCAACCCAACTGCCCTCAGTTGACAGGCTGCTTCCTGCTTGCCGCTGGATCATGGACGGCCCCGGATATACCTCTGCGTCGTCTGCGTCTGCTCATACCGCAACTTCACATCGTCGCAAGCTCATTAAGAAACCTCCCACTTACGCCTACGCTCGCTCCTCATCTGGCTTCGATGGTGGTGCCTTCGACGCCCAGTCCCTCGAGAGCAAACGCAGTTCCCAGAGTCTGAGAAGAGCCCCCAGCGCTCCCCCAGCCCGCTCAAACCCCGCGACCGTGTCCGACTGGCAAGACTCTGATCGATCTCATCCTCAATTATCCGCCAACAGCAACACTCTAAGACCTGTCCCATCGCCCATCTCACCTCAGGGCGACTTCACCCCCGCTAACCACTGGGCGCCTGTCCCCCGTCATCCCGACCGTCTCTCCGATTCTCACCTCCGCCCTCTCAGTAAGACAGCGGTGCCTGACGACCTGATCGGCGCTCCTTTTGACGGCGCTGCTATTCTGAACCGCATTGAATCGATAAAGATTCCTAGTCCGAAGGCTGCTGCCCCTCGTCAATTTCCTTCCCAAATCGTCAAGGTGCCTACCGACTCTAGGCTCGCTAGTCCTGCCCTACGAACTTCGACCAGCTTCTCCGCGATGGACTCGTCTCTGAACGAGAAGAGCCTTGGCCCAAGGGCTCCAACTGATGGGCCTTCGATCAACCCCAAGAGATATTCCGACGATGGCAAGGACCTCAAGCCCGCTGTTCTACGAAAGAAGTCAGGATTTTCCGGTTTCATGAACAGTTTGGTAGGATCGCCCAAGAAGCCCGTTATCTCTGCACCCGAGAATCCCGTCCACGTTACTCATGTCGGCTATGATAGTTCCACGGGCCAGTTCACAGTCCGTTCTCCCGTCCCTTTGTTCTTATACTCGTTAACAGACTCTAGGGTTTGCCAAAAGAATGGCAGCGGCTTATCAACGAAAGCGGAATTCCTGAAAAGGAAAGGCGAGAAAACCCGCAAACTATGGTTGATATCTTGCAGTTCTACAAAGAGACCACGGAGAGGCCCCCAGAGGATCAGGTCCTTGAGAAATTTCATCATGCTGGTCAGTATGCCACCTCTCCGGCAACTGCAGCATCACCGGGCATGTACCCGTCAAACTATATGGGTATGTCACCGAACAATATTTCACCTACGAACCCCAGGTTTCCAACTGTCAATCATGAAGGAAGTTTTGAGAATCCCCGAGCACCACCGCCTGTTCCCCGAGGCCAGGTTGGTAAGGACCTGATGCCCAGTCGCCCGGCCCCGAAACCGCCCGTCAGCATGAGCAATCGGCATATGCCTCAAGGCGCATATTCGACCAAAGACTCAGGCATCGGTATGTCTCAGTCCGGCGACGAATCTTACGGCATGTCAAAGGATGCTGGCCCTATGCTCCCCGAAGAGCACCGATCGAGATCCAATTCGCGCGTCGCTGGACCTACATACGCCCCAACTGCACCGCAGCCCAACCCACAACTTGCCCAGGCGCAAGCCGCCGCTTATCAACAGCAACTTATGCAGCAGCAACAAGAGCAAGCCATGGCTCAGGCCCAAGCTGCCATGTCTGGCAGCATCGGTCGTGCTCCTAGTAAACGAACTCCTCATCCCCAGAACCCGAACATGCAAGCTGCTCCAGGTTACGGCCGTGCCCCCGAGTCTAATGGTGTACACAACGCTCCTCGTCAGCAGGCTCCTGGAGCAGCCGTACCTGGGGCTAGACCACGACACCGGGCTCGTCAGAGCGCAGGCCTTGACATCGTTGCTGCCCTCAAGCGCATCTGTAGCGAAGGCGACCCTCGAGACATATACCGAGGATTCAACAAAATCGGCCAGGGTGCATCTGGAGGTGTTTTCACCGGTCACGAGCGTGGCACGAACAGATTGGTGGCTATCAAGCAGATGAATCTCGAACAGCAACCTAAGAAGGACCTGATTATCAATGAGATTCTTGTCATGAAGGATAGTTCACATCCCAACATCGTCAACTTCATCGACAGTTATCTGTGTGGTGGCGAGCTGTGGGTCGTCATGGAGTTTATGGAGGGAGGCAGCCTTACGGATGTTGTCACCTTCAATATCATGTCTGAGGGGCAGATCGCTTCTGTGTGTCGCGAGACCCTTCTTGGTCTGCAACATCTGCATTCCAAGGGAGTCATTCACCGAGATATCAAGTCGGACAACATCTTGCTATCCCTGGAGGGCAAGATCAAGCTGAGTGAGTGACAAGTATTCCAGTGGCGGTGCAAGGCACAACTAACCGTAGCAGCCGATTTTGGATTCTGTGCGACCATCAATGAAGCCCAGAACAAGCGAACAACCATGGTGGGTACACCCTACTGGATGGCGCCCGAAGTCGTTACTAGGAAAGAGTACGGGCGCAAGGTTGACATTTGGTCTCTGGGTATCATGGCTATCGAAATGATAGAAGGCGAGCCACCATACCTGACGGAATCCCCCCTGCGTGCGCTTTGGTTGATTGCAACCAACGGAACTCCTCACATTAAGAATGAACAGGATCTTTCCCCTGTGTTCAAGGACTTCCTCTACTTTGCACTCAAGGTGGATCCGGAGAAGCGGGCCAGTGCTCATGATCTGCTGAGGGTAAGTCTCCGATATTGCCGGTTAAATGATTCCACTGACCCTTTCTAGCATGAATTCATGAAGCAGTGTGTTGACCTAGGTCAACTATCGCCATTGGTGCGAGCCGCTCGAGAACAGAGGGCGCAAGAAAAGGCTCGCAAGGGGCAGTAGGTAAACCCCGGGAGAAGAGTTCCTCCTGCAGATCCCCCAGTGAGAAAAGAGAGACTCCGCCGACTGTTGCCGGCGTTTCTCAGACGATGATCGATGTATCTCCAAGTCGGTACAATGGTCTCGATTGACGACGTCCCCACGGGCACAATGCGTCCTTGGGTCACGATTCTGCATACCCAACTATCTAATGACGATTTTCTTCCACAAATTATTCAACTGTCATAGCAGGCCTTGCATCTTGAAGTTGGAATTGATACGATACCGCGTCAAGGAGTGGCTCGGATTATGTTATGCGCATGAGGTCGCGAGTTCGACACATTGCAAGAAAAGAAAAACCCAAAAGGTGCCAGCAGGCGGACACCAAGATGACGCCTGGCAGCACATAGATATGACACGCTGGATATACCCCTGCATACGAATTGTTCTTGCACATCGAGTTCGCGCTCGAGGCTGGGTCTGTCACGATACTAGACCTGGCCATGTCTCCTCACCAGCTTTGAATCATAAAAAAATAGTTTGCTTCCGTACATTGGTGCCCCGGCTTTTTGGAATGTGCTTGTGGTGATGATGCGAAATGGAGCTCTTAGTATTCAGGTGTCAGTCACTCTCTGTGTGACTATGTTTTAAACAGACCTAACCCTCAAAGCCAATAAATCTAACCGAACAAACAAAGCCAATACTTTACCAAACACTCGAACGCAAAGACGACAATACAAAACAACAAAATCATTAGACCGGCCTGTGGCGACTATACTTTGTTTCTTCGATGGGCCCCGCCCTACAGGAACTTGCTCTTCTGAAACATGAGGCTGCCTTGCTCCCATTGTTGATAGAAGGGGCTGATATGCTTCCGGACTCTCGAGCAACCTTCGCCCTCTCTGACAGCGGCGTGGCTTTCCATGCCCGTGTGGAACCCGTTACCGAGCACAGCAACGGTGCCGAGGGCGGCAGGCCGAGCTTGGTGTTTGAGCTTGTCGTGGGAGTGTGAGGAGAATGGTGAGAAGTGTATTGAGTTGCGTACGGAGGCGGCTGCAGCGCGGGCTGGGACAAGGGTTTTTTTGATGATTCGGTTGCGCAAGGACCGAGCGGCGCGGACCAGCGAAATGGAGGGAGTGCAGAGTAGTTGCATGTTCGGAAATGATGTCGAGGCTTTTCTGGAGGTGGTGATATGAAGGATGAGCTGGTTATCTGAACCTGAACCTGCACCTGATATTGGAATGTTGAGTAGACTATGGAAGAGATATCATGAGCGAGTATGTGTTTTTGGTCTGACTATAGGGAGAAAGGGAGAATAGGAAGAGAAGTTATAGACAGCAGATGATTCAGAGGCTTATAGTCCTTCCGAGTCATTGTATGAGTTAACCGTGGGCACTTCCGAAGACCCCCCTCCATCATGAGCCGGAAGACGATGCGGTCTGCCGGTGGCACCTCGGGGCCCTCTTTGATATGTAGGTGTATGTGTCTTGCACAAGATCCTTGGAACGTGGATGGACTTGGTTCGTTGAATCTGTAGTGTCGTTTCGCATGAGTCGTTGTTTATCGAAAGGTTCAGATCTTGGCTGTTTAGTAGTCTTGAGTATATCTGTTCAACTTCCACTGGGTATGTATGGTACAATGGGTATTTTTGTCTTGGTTCCTGTGTCCTCATGAGACATTTCTCTCCAATGTCTCTCCCATATCTGTTGATTCAGGAGATTGACACTGGGCATGAGCTCGCGTCTCCTGTCCTCTTCTTTCATGTTAGTGTCGGCCCATATTCTCCACCGCCAGTTTATTAGCTGGCGAACCGAAAATAAAATAAAAAGGCTGGCCCGGATCTTTGACCCGGTTTTGATCGTCTATAGAGCGGTGAGAATAACCTAGACCAAATTATTGGCTCAAGCTGGATTGCCGTTTTGAACATGCAAGTGCCATCGTGATTGGCTGCTCGGAAACAGGCGACGATTGATTGACATTGACGTGCGCGTGCACGTGCGCGTGCATTGGTGGATTATTACGGATTAGGTAGACTTGGATGACTGCACTTTGCGTACCTACCTTAGCCAAACTCACGATCTGCCTCAAGGGACAAGAAACTTTGGTTGTTAGCGCACGATAACTAGCCATTAACCTTGTTTCACACCCGAAAGTCTAATCAAGCGAAGAGGGAGGATACTTGTTTATACAATCAATCACCAGAGAAGATAAGTAGTTCTTTTTTGTAGAGTTCATTCATTATATGCCAGCGGCTATTAAGTTTAGATCCTCTCTCTGGATCTCCTCGCTCCGTGTCTAATACGGCAGATTCATCCTGCTCTATGTTATCCAGAGCTGATCTAGTTTTATCATCATACGTCTCTTTTTTCCCCCTTGGCCCTTGCTCAATGCTCAAAAATAGGTCACCAATTGTTTCCGGAACTCCAAACAAAGAAAATCAAATCCTCTTTCAGGGCCTTCCCGATCCAGCCATTTATCCGTGGAAACTGTTCTTCGCTAACCGTCCAAAAAAGGGTTCTGCTCGCTTAGTAGCATGTGTAGCCACCATCGATGATGCAGTTGGAGCCAGTCATGAACTTGGAAGAGTCTGAGGCGAGGTAGATGCAAAGGCCGTTGAGCTCGTCAACGTTACCTAGTCGGTTCTGGGGTGTCAGGGACTTCCAGATCTTCTTCTGGGCGTCAAGAGCAGGAACTCGGTTGAGGGCAGTGTCCATGTAACCGGGAGAGATGCAGTTGACCCGGATGTCGTACTTGGCCCACTCAGCCGCAAGGGACTTGCCGAGTTGAATGACACCTGCCTTTGAGGCATTGTAGCAGCTCTGCTCCTGGGGGAAGTTGACGATGGAGCCAGACATGGAGGCGACGAGAATGATGCTGCCAGGCTTTCCAGCGGACATCATGGCACGGCCAACGGCCTGGGACATGAGGAAAGAGCCGGTAAGGTTGATGTCGATAAGGCGACGGAACATGGCAGGGTCGTAAGTCTCAGCCTTGATGTTGGAGTCGGCGATGCCGGCAGAGTTGATGAGAACATCAGGAGCACCGTAGCGCTCGACAACCTCGTCGACAGCAGCGTTGATGGCAGCACCGTCGCGAACATCGACCTTAAAGAAGGAGACAGGTAGGCCAGTCTTGTCGTGAAGCTCAGCTGCGGCTTCGTCACCAAGCTCCTGGTTGGCGTCGAAGAGAACAATGTTCTTGGCGCCAGCCTCAGCACAAGCACGAGCCATATGGTTTCCAAGGCCACGGGCAGCGCCAGTCAGGATGATGGTCTTGCCATAGACACTCATGTTGCGCATGGTGTGGGGGAGCTGCTCGAATGTCTTGCGGGTGAGCGGCTGAACGATGTCGCTCTCGTTAGAAGGAGTACGAGGCTCGCTAGGAACTCGAGCAGCTGCCTCGGGGACGTTGACTGTGTGCTTATCACCAGTACCCTGGCCAGCACTGTAGACTGTGACAGGAACCTCCTTCTCTCGGACAACGTTCTTCTTCAAGTTGGTGTCAATGACACGCTGCACGGGTGTGGCTGTGAAGCATCGCGAGTTCTTGGGGAGAGCAATGGCAGGGGCCCGAGTGGCACGGAGGATGTTTCGAGAAATGGAGCAAAAGGCCATTGTGAAGGTTGTAAGTTTAGGTTGGTGGTTGAGAATAGGTAGGATATGGGTATATAAGAACAGGAGTGATAGTGGGGGGAGAAGTGATTATATATTAGAAAGTCTTGTTCTTTTGGTGCAGACACCACAAGTGCTCAAGCGAGAGAATGGGTATAGAGGAGAAGATGAAGATTGTAAAAGAAGAGTTGAATGGATGAAGGAATCCTCTCGATATATAGTCGAATGGCTGTGGGTCCGAAAGTAAATCACAGATAGAGTGTGAAGTGTGTTGCTGAAGTGTAGGGAGTGCAGACAGTGAGAGCAATGCAGAGAAACTCTAGACCTGAGGTGAGCACGAATTTTTTTTTCTTCGTTTTTTTCCCGAGTACCTTGTTGCAGAAATTGTATGGTAGGGTCGCAGGGAAAGCTTTTACTTTGCTTGCCAGGGAGAAAGGCAAGGTAAAGGTAAAGGTAGACTAGGTGCAGAATTTAGTGTGGCGGTATGTCCGTGAGGAAGGCGAACGAATGGGTGTGGTATGGTATGGTGTGGTGTGGGTGTGGGTGTGGTGTTGCGAGGCCCTTGAGGTGGACTGTAAGCGATAAGGTACGGTGCAGTGCAGTGCAGTGCAGATGACTTCAGCTAAGGCTAGAATCAAGGGATCTGCTCTCGTTTGGCGGCTCTGGGGGCTTCTAGTGCTTGTTCAAGGAGGGTGGCAGCGGGCGCGGGGGCCTGGATTGAGAGAACAGTGGAACCGGGAGTAAGAGTGCAGGCAACCTAAGATAGAACAGTTGAGTTGGGTATGCGAAGTGCAGATCTCGCGGCAGGAAAACTCCGAAATGAAAGTCCAAGAGTAACGGGATGGGCCTTTGGGCAGTGTATGGCAGTGCAGTGCAGTTCAGTTAGGTTCTGTTTGTTTTGTTCAGGAAAGGTACGTTTCGCTTGTTCCAAGTTGATTAGGTGACTGCGGGAGGACCGGTGCTATTTTCGGGGCTCTTCAATAGCGACTCCAGAACGGCAATTCAGCTTTTAATGCTTCTGTTCGCTGTGTAGAGCTGATCTGAGATAGATGTATGTCCTGGATGTCTCGAACAACGGAGATTCGGGCTTGATCTTCGGATCCGGAATTGGAGGCAAGCTTGTTTGTTGGTGGCAAAATGCTACCTGTGTCTCTCTTCGAAGGTGGTGCGGAGAAGGTGTCGATGAAAACCTATAGTTAACTTCAATGTTAGTCGCCGTTATCAATGAATTTGGCCACAGCAAAAAAGAACCAAGTTCATTACGCGTGCAAGGCACAAGGATACGTTCATTGGGGACAACATACAGCTTCAGATGGACTTTAGATCGTGGCGAGAAAAGATTCTGTGCGAAGCTCAAGTCGTGGAAAATGCGTATGTGTGATGGAAGGTGATGGGGAACTAGCTCCGACCGGC